TCCCCTCCCCTTTTTCCCTCTGTTTTTTCCTCCCTTTTTTTCTCCCTCTTCTTTTTTTCTAAGCCTTGCTGTGCCCCACCCACTGCAACAAGAGTGATTCATAGTAAAATCAGAAGTAGAGGTTATTTAGGGCACAAAGGCAGGAGATGTTTGGGCAGAACATTCCTTGTAATGTTGCTGAGAAAATAGTGACCTCCCTAAAGCTTCTGTGTTTTGGTTTGAAGAACGAGCCTAACCCCGGTGTCTTTTAGGCAGTGTCAGCCAAACTTTGCATACGCTTACCTTGGGAAGCGTACGATTGTCATGAGCAGCGTAGGGCACAATGCAATTCTCAGGTTGACGTTTTTCTGTCGCAGGAGTCTCCTGTGTCTGCAAAAAAAGCTGATGCGAAGTTGAGTCTCCCAGTGCTGCTGCTGAAAGTGAAGCCACCCAAGCCTGTTACAGGTCAGATCTGATTCTGTACTTGCAACCTGCAGCCTCCTTCAGGTGGCAAAGGAATCGTGGCCCTTATGACTACAGGACAGGTCAGAATGTTTCGGTACTGTGTTCCCTAGTCCCTCTCTGACCTGTCTTTGTAGTTACATGTAATACTTTAGTGGAAGTTGCTTCTTAGCTGACCATCTCATGTGTCACCTTTTATAGGGCAAAATATTTCAGTGTGTCTCAAAAGTGAGTGTCATACACCCTCAACTTCATTGTCACTAGAGGGGAAGGAGGGTGTTTGCTAGATCCTGGCAACCCGACAACACCCCCGGTTTGCCACTCTTGGGTCCTGGATTTGTAGGAAAATGCTGAGGATGGGGAGGGAGCAGACCATATGCTGGGAGAATGCCATGGAAAGGCGAGGTGAGCTGGGTCTTCAGGTGACTTGGCCTAGTCCCTCCATTAAAATACTAGAAAATGGGCTAGTGATATGGAAAGTCCTACCAAACTAGATCCTTGATGTTGAAATACTTCTACCAGGAAGGTGCAGTGTGTCCCTCTTCGGGACAATGCTACCCTGAAGGAGGGATAGTCAAAGCGCCTCTGAGCACTCCATGGTGTCTCTTCCTCCAGGGCTGTGCCTTTTCCCTTTGTGTTCCCAATCCAGGCAGTAGTTTTAAAAACCCTTTGGATGCCTTGAAGAAAGTGGACGATGCCAGCATGCTTGGCTTGGGGTACAATCACCTAATCAAGGACTCCCAGTGGGAACAGCAGGAAGCAATCTTCCACAGCACTTACCGGGAGTATCTGCAGGCAGAGAGTGAAGGAGAGAGCAAGGAGGAGATCCTTAGGTGAGTGGGAGCACAACCAGGATTTCAGTCCATGAGACATCAACACAGGGCACTTTTCAAGCGTAGATAGAAGCCTCTGTCTTAGCTTTGCCTCCATCCTGAGGCTTCAGGGCAGGGCACCATGAGCCGTTCCAGATCTTGTTGCGTTGCTGCCTACTTATCAAGCCTTTCTTTTTGCATATATTTCTTCCTTCTTTTTTTTCAGACATGCTACTTTTCATTTTCTCCTGCCTGGTCGAATTCTGCAGGTGGGACCTGAAATGAAAGTACAGCCAGGTAATCCTAACTGGCAAAAAGCTGTTAATCTGTGAAACACGTTGTTGCATGACATTGGGCTACAGTTAGAAGAGCACAATACCTCTGCCTTGGGCTCACTATATAAATTTGAGGACATAAGCCTAGATAAAAATAAAAATGTTGTCCCTAAGGCTTGTAAGCCAGTTGCTGGTACAGAGTCAAACTTAGGTTCATAGTTAAAAAACCCCACAAAACAAAAAAACCCTCAAAACAGCAAAAAATATGAGGGGTCACATAGGCAAGATACAAATAACAGACGAGGGGAGCTTGTTGTGGTTTAATTCCTGAATGAGCAGAATTTCTATAAGTCCCATCAGGAAAACCGTGGGAGCTCTAATGAGGGCTTTCTAACAGTATTTTAGTGTCCTGGATTGTTCCTTTCTTTGTCTCCAATTTCCTTCTCTCTTATCTTGTCTCCTTCTGTGTACTAGATATTCCAACTGGCATCAGTGTGCACTGGAGTGAATGCCACAATCTCTGCTTCTACTTACTTAACCGTCCACTCAGGGACAAAGTGGGTAAGCAAGTCTTGCTTTCTCTAGCAGAGCACTCTATGGGGAGTGCAAGTATCCAGTGGACAGTGGCTGGCATTTAGGCAGGTCTTCGTGATTCAGGGAAATGAGGAATGGGGAAGGTAGCTGCACATATCTTGTAGGTTAAGCTGGATTGTAGGGCTCCATGTCACACAGGCTGGCAGTATTTTGCGTCAAGCCCCTCTGGCAGGATGCCCCAGAGCGATATGTGTTTTATTGGGAAACTGGAAGCTGGTACCATGAGAGTGAATGCTCTGCACCTTCTTACAGTTATCTTGCTTCATGTTCTTCTGTTTAGATTCTGATCCAAAACCTGATGTTGTGTGGCCATGTGCAGCTCCAATTGCATGCTCAGCTGTCAGCTCCTGCTCCAGGTACCTGGCACTGGCATGTGAAGATGCAACAATAACTATTTGGGATAAACACCTAGGTGAGCTTGCCCTTTGAGACCGGGTATTGGCATCACAGTGGAAAAATTACTCCCTTCCTTAGGAGTTTGAGGCCATGGCTTGCTGTGAACAGGGGACTGGCATTGAATTTACAAGCAACTCTGAAAATAGTTTGGACTCACTTCTTCATAGGATGCTTGGCCAGAAGTTGCCAATGCAGTGTGACTGCCTTAGCCCATCCAAAGCAATGTTGGGGTTTTGAACTGCTGCAGGGAGGACTGATGCCTGTTCTGCCCTGAGGCTGTGACAGTCACTGCTTTGCTACTGCACCCTCAGGTCATCTTTAAGGCTGTTGTGGCATCAGAGTCCCAGCTGCCATCAGTACTAGTGTCATCCTGCTGTGCTGCAGGGATTCCTCTGGCAGAAGAATCTTCTTCTACCATCAGGATTGTTTTGGTGGCTGCTGCCCCTGAGCAGGCCACAGTCCAAGCTAAGCTTTTCTTGGATAAATTCCCAGTTCCTTTTTCTTCCTGCACAGCTATTTTTTTTCCCGCTTTCTTAGGATACCCACTGTCTGTGACAGCCATTCTAGAGGAACGTCTCATCCATAGCATCCACTTCCTGCGGAGTTCTACAGCTGCCAGTGATGAGACATCTTGTCCTGGTACAGATCCTGCTGGTCCCACTGTGCAGCTTCTAGTGCTGTGTACAGACAGCTCTTTCTATTTGGTGAAAGCCCTCAGGGCAGGGAAGTCCAGCGTTGAACTCCTGACAGACAGGTGAGGCAGACTCTGACAGACCTCACTCCAGCCAGAGAAACCATGAGGTATAGTGCTCTGATCCAGCAGGGAGCCCCAGATTTCTGTGGGGTAGAACACTTTCTACTGCTTTTTCCCAGACAGCTCTGCCATACTGCTGTCAGCAGCAAGTGTGGCTTTGCTAGGAGTTGATTTCAGTGCTAAAATCCAATAGTTATGCCAAAATTAAGGGTGTTTCTGGGTTCTTCTATGCACCAGAATGTGAGTGATTGTAGCACTGTTCCAGGGCTGATATTCAGCTAGCTGCCAGGTCTCTGTCAGGTACCCAGAGGGATTTTTTCCTTCTCTCTTCTGCTCTTGCTAGAGTAACTTACTCTAGAAGTCAGAACAAGCATTTCTTGCCATCTTTGTATCAATTTTATGTTCACCTATCTCCTTGGCTTGAGGAGAAAGGTCAGCTTTGGGGAAGCTGCTGCTCTGAAGGCTGCAGTTTCATGTCTCCATGGCAGGCAGAGGATTTCTATCTCCAGCGTAACTCCTACGCAGGTTTGCACAGGGAAGGGGCCTCAGGGGTTTCTACCCAGGAAGAGCTGGGCTTATCTCCACAGAGAAGTGGCTTGGCTGGAACTTTATGCCAGCCCGTGTGCCACAAGCCACCACTATCATTACCACAGCCTCTCAGTATGTGTCAGCTACACAGAACGGTGGCATAAGCCTGAGTCTGTTTTACAGGCCTGAAGATCCAAATCTTGCTGTCAGCGCAGTGGTGCCTGTCCTGGCATTCCCCAGTGCAGTGAGTATTACTGCCAGTTCCCTTAAATACTGGGTGAGGACACGGGTCCATCTGGCCTAGGATTCCGTTTCCAGTAATGGCTGTAACTGAGTGCCTAGAAGATAAAGAGCAGGGCAATCAGATATTGTGCTGCCATCACATCCTTTCCCAGCCCCCAACTATTTTTAGCATGGGGACTTCCTGCACCAGTTAGAGGTCTGTGTATAGCTGGTCACTCTCAAAGGATTTTTCTTCGGGATCTTACTCCTCTTGCACCCCACGTCCTCTAGTTGACCACTGAGGTGGGAGGGACTGGAAGCCCTCTGCACACGAGCAGGTCCAACTGCAAAGGTGAGAGTGTTCAGCCATGAAGCTTCAGGCATCATGGTCAAATATGAGGGGGCATCATGGTGAGGAGGAGTTACAAGCACAAGTCCAGCCAGACCCTTCAAGTGACCCTAGAAAGTTTTCAGGCATGGGAAGTAAGGGACTGAAAGCCGCTCGCCAGATCCAGGCATGCAGAAGCCTGGATCTAGTTCATTTCTAACGTGCCCTGCTGCCCTTTTCCAACCATAACCTGTGGCAATTCCAGGCCAAGTTCCCTGCGTGGCCTGTCCTTCATCTCCTGTGGCCCTGTGACTGCTGGACAAGCAAAAGAAACAGCATTTGGGGATGTGAAGTCCTGAATGCCAGTTCTAGGTCCTTTCATGGAAATTCTTCTCATTTCTTTTACGTCTAAATGTCAATTTGTGTTTCAGGCCCTGATCTTCTCCTATGATGGCACAGTGTCTCCACATCGCAGGTTATTTGCTGCTTCGGTATTCCATCTTCTCATGCTGTAGTATCTCCCTGGCAGCCAGTGTTCACAGTGGATAATGTGAATTGGTGCTTGCTGTTTCAAGGTGAGTAGCACTTAGATGCATGCTCACTGCGTGCGTTCAGCTGTGCACTGATCCTTGTTAGTTCTTACTGAATGACTCCTGATGCCCTAGTCCACCGTTCCTGTTTCTGTCTAGAACGTGAGCAGCAGCGGGCAGATGCATCGGCGGAGGGCAGAGCCAGTCACAGCACCATTTTACTTTATGTCTTCAATTCCTACCCACTGAAGGAGGCTTTCCCAGAGGAACCAGATTTGCCTCTCAAATCGTTGCAGAACCTGCCATGGATTGAGAGATGTAACATTTTCTTACGTGATAGGTGAGGTTCTCCTTCTGCCTGATAAGTAAGTGCACTTGCATTAGTGAAAGCTGTGGTGTTGCTCAGGTCCATGCAAGGTCTCACTGTGGAGCTTCTGGGTTCTTCTGTGTGCAGTAACAGGTTATTTCTGGGTAAGGCTGATGTTCAGGTAGCTGGGACAGCCACCCAGAGCCCGCCCCCCTCTCCCTTCCATCCTTCCTGGAACAACTAAAGTCAGGATGCCTGGGGCAGATTTTTCATTTCAGGTAGCAAGGGCTTGCTAGTTCTAATGTGCTTTTAGGCAACACTGGGAGTATGATCCTCACTTAAGTGTCTTCGTCTTCCCTTCGACCCCATAATCAGGCACAGCTGGGATCTCTTTGTACCTTGCTCCCCGACTTCATTCCTAGGTTCATTTCATGTTTAAGTAGATTTGTGTTGGAGGTTTCTCTGAGTAGATCTCCAGCACCTACCTTAAGGCCCAGGTTGAAGTCAGAGCTTAGCTGATGCATTGAGTTCATGCTGTCACTAGATGGCAATGTGACATCTCTTATTGGGTGATCCTTCCCTTCAATTACTTGTTTGGGGAGCTTGGAACCAGATCCGTGTCAATGATACTCTGTTTTTTTTCACTATGCCTTTAGTCTCCAATTTGAAGTGCCACAGGTAGGTGCAGCTATCACCTTATAGCACAGATTACCTGGTTGCCTTCCCTAATTCCTTGTTTCCATGGTGAATCCTGTGGTGGTGTCTAGCTAGCGCAGAAAAGTGCTGGTTTTTTTTCTAGTATAGAAAAGTTTTATCCTATATTACCTGCCACCAGTTCTGTCGCTCCTTCTCATAAAGCCAGAGGAGACTCTTGTCTGCCTTATACCAGAAAAAAATGGGGAGACATCAGTTCCAGGGGCATCTTGCTCCCTGGGTACTGAAGCTAAACCCAGAGCAGAGCAAATACAGCTGCAGTGAGACCTTCATCTACAGAGGCAAAGAGAAATATGGGCACCATTGCTGTCAAGAGCAGTAAACCTGAGTGCTGAGTAGCATGAGGGAATCACTGAGGTTTTTTGGACATGAGAAATCTGAACTGCTTAATTTATATTGAGCCCCAGGGACCCTTGGAGGAACCAAGATAAGGTTGTTTGAGCACTGGGGGAATGGCAAGGACTGTTTTAACCACTGTTTTCTTCCCTTGTTAGGCAGCAGAGCCTGCTGGGACTCAGGGAGCAGTTGCCTGAGTACTGGAGTCAGCTGCAGGCACAAGCAGCTGCCATGGATGAGGAGAGACAGAAAGTGAAGGGACAGAAGAAGCTGTAGTCAGCCTCAAATCCCGAGGGCCAGCCTTTGCACAATCACAATCCTGCAGACCCATGATCCAGCACTGATATTTTGACAGCATCTCTGCTCAAGTTTATCCTGCTGCTGTCCGGCGTGAGGCACGTTGTCATCTGAAATAGCTGCTTGCCTGCCACTGCTCAGCCACAGAGACCTGTGCCTCTGTCCTTGCCTCACCCTCAGCCTGTTGCAGTAGGGTTCAGCCCATCCTCATCAGAAACAAACACTACTGGTGGAAGAATCTTCATGTAGGAAAGACCTCTCACTGAGGTGGCTGGCCCAGCACTTGTGTGGGTCAGCTAAGTATTTGTGCCGGATTTCGGAGTCCTCCCAGAAACCTGGAGCATTAGAGTAACATAGTGTGTTACAATGTCCTTCCTTAATAAAGCCTTTTCTCCAGTAAAAGTCTCTTGCTTTTCATAGGACTGACATTTTATCAGACTCTATTGTTCCATCCTTCCATTGCTGGGTCTTACCAATGTGTCTCATCTTCTGCTCTGTCCAGACGAGCAGGAGAGGCAGCATCCCTGTGCTCTGCAAGAAACCTGATCTTTTCAAACCAGGCAGCAAATCAGCCATGAAGGTGGCATCCTCCAGAGCAGAGCAGCACCAAGCAGCAGTGACACTACAGAGTGTATCAGGCCTCACCTAGGCTGTTCTGCAGTCTAGTTGTTTCTTTTTACTTCAAAGCAGGCAATTTTGGGATAGGACTGCTTGGGAATTGCAGCCTGGAAATGTGCAGACAAGTTCTCTGGGTTAAGGTCAGGCTAAAACTGATGTTAGATCCAGCATCCAATGTCACTGAGGAACAGGACAGCAACGGGAGGGGATTCAGAGACATTGGGGCTGTGCTGGGCCAAAGACAGGCCAGGAGCATGGCCAGAACATTGGTCAAAGGCCATGAAAATCTGATGCATCTCTTCTAGAGGCAACAGAGGACAAAGAACTAGCAGGTATAATGCAGGGTCAGGCATCCATGTATTAGTTTCTTACTCCAGAAGTGTATTAAGTTAGTAGCTTGCCCTGTGTACTTGACAGATGGGACAAGAACCTATGTGTCCTCCCTGGTTGGTCTTTCACTTGTTGGTATTTTCAGGTCTATAGTTCCATGGGACACTGGCAGCATCTAGATGTTAGCTGTGGAATTTGATTGCTCAGTTGGGGGCTAACAGCCTACCTGCATTTTGGCATCTTTGTTGCTCTTCAGGCAGTCTGGAGTCCCCTGGAACCTTAGGGGCTTTAGAGGAGGTGACTCGAAATAGCCATTATCACTCATAGAAAACATATCCTTTCTTGAGCATAAACACCATGAGAAAGCTTCCAGGATGACCATCTAATCCACAGAGAATCTGACAAATACACTAGCAACCACTCCAATCTGTGTGCACAGGTGAGCTGTATTTTTTCCAGATCTCCCTCTAGTGACTCCTCTAAAGGTTCAACAAAGTGTCAGTGCAGGGTGCCAGGGACTTGGCACAGACTGAGCTATATAGACAGTCCTATGCTAAGGTCCCATTTCAATTTTTCATAGCAAGTTTTCTTGCTTTTGGTTGAGTTTTAACGAGAGGTCTTAGCTCATCTGAAAATAAAGTCAATCAGTCTGTTGTGGAGGTAGGAAAGGGAAGAAGCATTCCACTTGTTTCAATCTCAGATGCCTGCTTTTGCTCTGGAGAAGGACAAGCTATCTGAATTAAACCGTCCTATTTGCTACCTTTGTGAAGGGCTTTGAGGGCCATAGTAAAGCCTTTTGTGCTGTCATTTTCCATCTGCCACAGATTACAGCTTCACAGCTCATCTGATTGTTACGGATATTGATACTGGGTTGTGTGAGCACTTGCCATCTGCTTCAGTGTAAAGTCAAGCGGGTTGGCTCAAACCACCTTCAGTGCCTGTTTAAACTGAGCCACCTGGAGCAGCACTGAACTGAACAAGGAACAATTCTTGATCTTTTCTTCTATTCTTGCTGTGGTGGCAGTAACAGCTTAATTATTTTTTTTCTGTGGTACTTTAAAAAACAATGAACCTTCTGCCATAACTGGGCACAGGGGATTACTTAGGGCAGGAATTCCTATTCCTACATTGCTTCCCTTGCTGCAGAGAGCCAGCACAACTAATGTGTGGCCCCTCAAACAGCACTGGGTCTCATTCTTGCTATTTGTGCAAATGTAAAGGGCTTGGGGATTTGTGCCCTTAATCCTACCCCATCTGCTTTCCATCGAGAAGGAGCAGGGCTTGCCTAGCATCAGAGGAGGAGGCATGACAGGATCTGCTAAACAGTTAGATGTACTATGCATCCACTAATGTGTGTGTATTCATCCCAAGATGTGCTTGTTTGTTTGCAGTTTGAATTTGCTCTAAAGCTCTAATCATGTGCTTGGCCAAGATAACCAGGAGCTGGCAGGCTCCACAGAGAAAGGAAAACAACAAGCAGCTGCAGGAGGCTGATGAAGAGCCTTTGTTTTTACTCATGACTTCAGCAGGGGACTATTTGTTTCCTACTCCTTTGAAGGGATGTGAAAGGAATTGGTATGATCAGTGTCTTGACAAGCATGTTGGTGCTGGAGATGTGTGCTGGGCTCTGCGGGATGTTCTGGAGGACCAGAGGCAACTGATTGATTATTCCAAAGATGCTGCCCTTGCTAGCCAATCCATGAGCCCCAGACAGCTCTAGGTCTGAACCATTTTGAGCTGTTCTGCTGCTGGGAACTATAGAAAAGCCTTTAGAGGTATCAGAAATATCACCATCAAAAGATGAAACTCTGACAGTTCTGGCTGGGTCCAACTCCTAGCTCAGTGCCAAGTTCAGTGAACTTAAGAGTTGTTACCTGGGTATAATAGGAGCAGTTCGGCTCTGTGTTTTAGAAAAGTAAAATAAAACTAAAAAATCAGCGGGGTGGATTGAGGCTTGTGAGAGGGAGGAAGAGGAGCTGAGATCCAGAGAGAGGCGCTCGAGCAGCATCGCTCCGGCAGAGCCCGGTTACTGCTCAGCCATGGGAGATGGTTCCTGTGAGAGAGGAGGCTGTTCTTTAATCTCACTAAATTATCTGCTGTTCTCTGCAAGAAGCCAAATGTCATCTTACTTCTTTGCATGTTTTCTTGTGCTGTGGCAACAAAGGAAATCAGAGGCTGATCTGATAAGATTCCTCCGCTCCTGAGGGCCAGCAAAGGTTTGGGCTGTTTGGGTAAGCCAGGTCTGTGGTGGTAGCTCTGTGGTCCTCAGAAGAGCTGGTTGTGTGCTCTGGGAGCTGCACTCCCTGCACCCGCGTTGCCAGCTTTAATGCAACAACCCACATATCCTGTAGTGCCTCACAACATACAACCCGAGTCCATCCTAATGAAGAATCTGCAAAGACATCTGTGTCTTAATTGGGGCAAATCATGTCCCTGCAAGATACTGTGGGACGTGCAGTGGTGCCTAGGGCAGGGCAGTCCCAGCAAGTGCTTGCTCTGTTTGCTCGGGAAGTAGGGGCAGAACAAGATCAAGCTTCCTCCCCACCTCTACAAATTCGTGTCTAGATATGGGTGAACCAGGTACTGCGTCCGGTTCCTAACTGCAGCCAGTGTTGCCTTGCTACCTCTAATACCAGTTCCACGTATCAGGGTACAGTTTCTTGTATTCCTTGGAGTCTGAGCTATAGCTGTCGAGTGCTGTTTAGCCAAGCTATGCAGGTTAACTCTTTTAATCTCTCTTAATGTATTGTGCCAGATAACTCAGTCTGGTTTAATTTAGGGTTTCTGCAACTCCCTTCCCCTTTGTCCCTGTTTCTGTTTCCAGTTTTTCCCTGTTTCTCTTCCAGTTTGTTGTTGTCTGGTATTTCTGATCTGTCTAGGACCTGGTACAATATTCATGTGTGTGGTCCTGCAAGGGGCATGTGGAGCTAGGTTCTGCTGGCCTTCACATGTGATTTTGCAGGAGCAGGACTGTTGGCTGGGATGAGAAATGAACCATGTCTTCAAGGCCAAAATACAGGAGGAAGTTGGCTCAGCCTGGCTGAGGGTGCTCGAGAGAGATTTGCATGATGACTAGGGTGATGCTGCGTTTTGGCCACCGCCCCAAGGATTTACAGGCGCTTTACGCAGCAGAAGACAAGCAGGGCTTGTGCTCTGAAGGACTCGCACGCTACGTAAGCCAAGTGCCAGGGTGCCGGGCAGCAGACTGCTCGTGCTGTAGGGGAGGATTTGTCATGGCAAGAGCCAGGTCCTCCCGTGGCACGCGTTGGCTCGACCCCAGGAAGGTCCGTGCTCGAAAGAGGAGGGGAAGGCGAATGACTCATGTCACGGCAGGGGCTGCCCATTAGGCGGGAGGGATATGTACAGTATCTGAATGGTAAATTGACCTGGGCTGCCAAGCGTGGAAGGCTTTGACCGCCGCGAGCACATCAGGCTGAGCGGCTGGTTTTGTTAGAAACGTTGTGTTGGCCAGCTTGAGCAAACGGCAGCTCTTCTGCATGCGGAGGACTGGACTGTCTGTGGTGAGGGAGAGAGGGAGTCTGTTTGTGTTGTGAGAGGGCGTGCACAAGAGATGGGGATCTGAACGGGGAAAAACAAGTCCTGCACTGAGCAATGAGGAAGAAACACTAATTAGGCAAGGAAGAGAAACCTGCCAGGTTGCAATCCTGACCTAACAACCAATTATAGGATAATACAGCACAGTAATGCAGGGTAAACGCTAAGTAGAGGATGTTTCTGAATTAATTCCTCTTTGAAATATAACAATCATTTTAAAAACATCCGGTATCCTAATTTTAGGCTGCCCATCATAGATGCCGCACAGACTGTGGTAAATTGTCCCAGTTGTTAAACTGTGTTGTTTGAATTTAAACCCTGTCTCTTAATCTGAATAGGTCACATTCCAGCTTCCAGTCACTGGACCCTGCTGCACCTCTGGGAGACTAAAGAGCCCCCAGCCAAAGGCGTGGTTCACATGGAGGGATTTACAGTCCATGTATGTGTGAAAAGAAGATGTAGGGAGACTAAGGGGT